CTAGGAATTTCAACAGGATGCTTCTTTGGAGTTTTACAGCATCTGTTGGGCTCGCATGCTTAATAATCTTTGAGTATTGAAATCTAATGTCTGTAAAGTAAGTGGGGGAACAGAAATACCTTTTTCATGAATTTCAGAGTACTGATGGTTCAGGTGTAAAATAGTAGGGAAATATGGAGGAGCTGCATTGTTTATCAACTTCATGATGGTTTTGATACCAATCAACATTACTTTCACAAAGTAAAAGCACCTCTAAAGTATTGATAAGTGTGTTAGTAACTGTATTGATAATTACCATAGTTTCCACTCCACTCTTGCCAGAGATACAGTGATATCTCCATCTTCCCATTCTCTCATGTGGAGGGAGAGGAAATAAAAAATACTATTCAAAAACTTGCCAGATAAAAGCCTATTTTTATCATCATGTAGTTTGCAATTGTGGACTATTTTTCAAAACTGCACATCATTGCTCTTTAAGGGGTTTTACGTAAGATAAAGTGGATTGGTTCATATGTTTTTGCTACCTTCTCTTGTCTTTTGTCCAGTATGGCAGGTATGCTTTCTTTCCAGAAGGGAAGACGGAGATCAGTTTTACTCAGAATTAACAAGACAGGCAAATGGTGTTTGTTTACTGAAGTTTGAAGTTTTTTTTTGTTTTTTTTTAATTACTTATCCTGCCCCCCTCTGTAATGGGAGCATGCCAGTATTTATTTACATTGTTGAAGAAATTGTTACAGCTCTGAAATGGGTTATTTGTTCGAATATCAGTCAGGATTTTTTTTTCCTGTCCATGTTTCAGTAGAGGTGTTCAGATACGGTCAGTAGGTTTTGAGCTTCCAAGTAGATTTTATTTTCTGTTTTTCATAAATTATATAAGGGTGACTTGGGCAAAGGAGAATCCTCCTTTAATACTTTGAGTTATCTTTGTTAACATTTATTTATTTATGTATGTATTTATTTATTTATTTATATCAAACTATTGGATCAAGAAATCAGCATATGAGCTTTTACATCACCTGAATACTTTTCTCTGAAACTTTACTTTGTTCTTTGTTATTTCCATTTCGCTGAATAGCAATCATGAGCCTTTATTCAGTAGATAGGGAAAATTTTATTTGAATTAAGATATTTGCATGCGTTCATTTCCATTTGTCATTTGTCTTCATAATTCCATTGCAAGCTGAAAGTTCAACTGTTCATTTAGCAAGAGACAAGTTTCATAGATCCAGGCAGATTAGGGTGGACAGTGTTGTTCCTGCTTCACTGTTATTTGTCTTGCTGTGTTGAAGAATGAAGGTTAGAGAAGGTTTTGTATGCCAACCTGGTATTTTTCAGGCTTGTTAAATCTCAATTCTCAGTTTCAGTGAGGTAGTTAAGAAATTAATCATGTTGAATTTGAAGCTGAAATTTGTCAGATTCATTTTCATTTTGAAAGCAATTAAATGACTGAGAACTTGACCTACTCTCACTGCAAGGTGGCATAAATGTCATCTTTAAAGTTTAATAGAAATCTAGTTTGATATGACCAAAATGGTAACATTTAAACAATTGTTTATTTTCTTAGTGCTATAGAATTTCTTCTGCTGTTTATTTAAAATCTTCAGCAGCAAAACCCTTTTAAAAGGATCTATTTTCCTGCAAAGAAATGTAACTAGCACTGCGATTCTCAAGCATTAATAGATTTTTCAGTTTAAAATTGGCTTAGGATACAAGATGATGGAATGGATTTAATTTAAAATGTTCCACTTTATGTTGATTATGATCTATGGAAAAGTATGCAATGGAGTTTGAATGGATTGACTGTTTTGTAGGTGTGTGAGATATGTGAATGTTACCTTTGTTCCCATGGTATGATGGAGTATTATTTCTCAAAGACCTGGGACTGGTTTGGTCTCATTGTTGGTGCAGAGGGAATTAAGCAGCAGTCAATATTACAAAGCTGTTTCATTCACAGCTTGTACTGAATAGGGGCTCCAACAGGAGAAAAATTGGACTTGTAATTAAAGATTAGGTTGTGGTCTGTATGTATGTATATACATATATATATATGGTTTAGCATCTTCTGAATATTATATATGCAGAATATTCTTAATGCTTCTGAATATACTTAATATATTCTTATGAATATAACCTTTTGCAATTTCAGGTATTACAGATTTTATATGAAGAATATATAAAAAAATCAGTGGAATAAAAATCCATTTTAAAATCCAGAATTATTGACCTAGCTTCTTTTTCTTTTGAGGATTTAATTTTTAATTTCTCATAATGCACAGATAAAAACAGTTGAGTGCTGAAGTTCAGCTGAAATCATAGGGTATATTTTTAATAGGGATGTGGCTTCATTCAGGTATAATTTTCTTTCTGATTTTGAATGCGCACATAGCTGAACCAATGTTGTTAAAGTTTTTCAGAAGTTTGTTTTGAGATATGGATTGAGAAATCAGGTGCCAGAGATGTAGGTACTAACTGTTTTTCTTTCATAAGGTTAATTTTGTTCCTTAAGACAAAAGAAGGAGTGAATATTGTTGAGTAGCTGATGTAGCCTCTTTTCCATGTATATCATCCTCTTTTTCTTCCCGTCATATACTAACAGCCAAGAGGATGTGACTGGTGCAGATAATAGCTGTTCATAACTTCTAGGGCTATGAGTATGAGCTCTAAAAGTAAGCTTTTATTCTACAAAATGTTCTGTGTAGCTTTAACTCCAGCCAGAACTAGGTCATTCATCTAATTCTGTATTTAAATAGATGTGAAGATTTATACTAAGCTTTTATAGTTTGAGGAAGTAAAATACCCTTGATTTTCATGTTTCTTTTAATGATAAATTGTGAAATTACTGTGGTTTGTGTTTGCTGTTTTCTGCTACTATCACTTCTAATATATTACATTAAGTTAATCATTCACAGTTATAAGTTTTAACAAAAGTCCAAGTGGAATATATTTCAAATAAAATCAGATTAAATATTGATTGATATTAAAAAGATGACAGAGATTATTTCACAGAATGTAAAATGAAGTATTGCTCAAAAACTTAAGTTGGATAAAAAATGGAGCATATAGCATGAAGTGTGGACGAGAAACTAATACATTTAACAGTTTTAATAGGGTTTTTTTTCCAGTCTTAACAGATGAAAGGATGAACCGAATCATTCTTCTATACGTTCTTTCCCTTGCTGAGCTTCAAAGTGGTTGGGAGCAAGTAACTATATGGCAGGGAATTGCTAACAGTAGTCAAAATGGTCATTTGATGTAATGCTATTTTATGAGAGATCAGACTGAAAACAAAAGTAGCTACAGATTATATAGAACATACAACTACAGGAAATTGGATGATCATGTACTGCAGAAGCAACATCAGAGAGTGTTTTCACAAATTAGTTAAAAAAAAAGTCTGGGTTGTTTTTTCTTTTCTTCCAAGTGTTAATGCTTATAAGCTGGGTAGTCACCTTAATTGCTGCTTCTGAATTTTTTAGCAGCTTTATTTCATTAAACAGGAGAATAATGGAACATTTGTGACTTTTATTGATTTAGTGATAAATACCGTCTGAATTATTTCTCATTTTATGAAATACTAGTCTAAAATGAAGTGACTTACAGAAGAGTTTATTTTTTCATGGAAGTACTGAATTTATTTTTTCTATTTGCCTTTACAAAATTTGTTGTGCAGTTGGACGACATTATTTTTGTTACTCCTAAAAGGACTCCATCAGTTTTTTCCCAACAACGATTACTTTATTCTGCTCAGAGGAAAGTGCTGTTTGCTGCTTTTTTTATCCCTATGGAGGGATGCTTCTGCAGGAGACCACAGCAGATTGAAAGCAGTGCACTTTCTGAGGAAAAAACATGTATCTGGAATAATTATAAACCTATTTAGCAGGGTTATGTTAAAACTACATTGAAAGTTTGTATTGTTCAGGATTGATACAAATTCCTGTAAAAACATCAGCTTGAGTAATTGAAGCAGTAGACTTTAACTGCTACTTGAGCTAATGTTTATACTTAGTGCCTCTGGAGGGAATGGTTTGTCATATAATGTGTGTTTGGTGGAAAGGACATGCATCTTCTTTCCATTGTTTTTGCTCATAAAAAGAATACTTGTGAAAGTAGAACTGTTTTTTGAAACAACTTTGATGTATTTGTAAGTATAATGTGGGATTTTTTTTTAATGTATACACAGAGACTATAATTATAATGTCAGTTAAATTAGCTTCCTAAATTATGAATAACATGGGCTGTGTTTTCCATAAAATGTTACTTCCAGTTTCTTTTTTGAGTTTTTGTGCCACTCAACACAACTGCAAAGGGAACACATGTGAAGCCTTAAATATTTTTTTACCTCAAGTCTTTTATAGATGGGATATAAAAGCACATTGTATAACATAATAAATTGTATGGAAAGAAACCATATGTTTTCCAAGTAGACAAAAAATGCATTTTAGTGATCTGAATAGTATGTTTATATCCATATGGCGTACTTTAATCCTGGTTACTTACCTAACCATTCTTTCAATTCCTGCATCATTTGTCAAATTTTCATACCTTAGTGAGAGCTGTGCCTGCTCTGGGAAAATTTGTTGCTGTTTAGAGTAGATAGGCTTAAAAAAAAAAAAAGAAGCTAAAGCTATGAAGATGCCCCAGTTCCACTTTTCACTCTGTGAATTTTTATTTAGAGGTGATATAAAATAAAACGGTCCTTTCCTTTTGCTATTGTAGTTTCTAAATCATAGAGACATATTTTGTTTTTAAAGCTCCTTTTCCCACCTGAAAGCTATATGTACACAGAATGTACGCAGATCACCGCTTGGAAACATGAATCTCACAGTAAGATGCAGAGATCCAGAGAGCCAGGGAAAGAAAGGACCAACCTCCCCTCCCCTTCCATAAAAATAGTTTCTTTGTGGGGTTTGTCTCCCCGAGGAACTTCCTGATACTTGGATACTCTGTCATGTGTAATTGGATTGTAGCTCTTTCTGAGTACCGTTTTCTCCTCTTGACAGCATGGGGTAACCTTGGAAATGTTCTCAAGAGCCAGAGCAAGATTTCTGAAGCTGAAAGCGCCTATAGAAATGCCTTGTACTACCGCAGCAACATGGCTGATATGCTTTATAATTTGTAAGTATGTGTGGCTTTCCTAAGCTTGGATCATCTGTGAAACCTGTTGTGAATGGAGCTATTGATTTACTTGCTGGAAATTGAGATGATGTTATAGCTGTTGCTTTGTATAATCATTTCATTAATTGTGCTCCTGAAACTATGGAGTGGACAGGACCTTTTCTTGGGCAACTTTACTGTATATCCATGTGTTGGATACGAAGAAGGTAAGTTCACAGATCTGTTTGCTTTGAAAGAATTAAACCCACACTGAACAAAGTACATATACATGAGCTGGCAACGGTAGCTCTCCATCTGTTTCTGACTCAGCTAAAATGTAGAAGTGTTGTTTAGACTACTTTTTCAAGTCTGAATAATACTTGGTGGGTGCAGTGGGTGTAAGCACTTCCTAGCATAAACCAATACCCCTTGGTTAGCTCCAGAGGACTTAAATGTTAAAATAGCAAATTGTTTTTCTCCTGTGACTGACTTCAGAGCAGCATAGGCTCAAGAAAGTTTAAGTACTAGAATCCTGTTGTAGGCGGTAAAAGAATAAATACCATGAGCATCAAAATAATCATAAAGATTTCCTGACTGATTAATATACCACACCATGAACACCAAAGCTAGTGTCATGCTAAGCTTCTCACTAAGGCAAGATAGTGCTGCATCCCCCAGTGGGGTGGAGGCTGGTTCTCTAGGCGTCTTGGCTAGGCATCTCACTGTTCCCTGCTCAGCACCGCTACTCATTCTGGCACTCACCCTTCCTTCCCCTCCTGCCACCACCCACCCAGCCCAAGCCCCCATAGTGGGGCTGTGCTGCACAATGGGCTCATCACCTTCAGTAGCTTATGAGTTGTTTCATGATATATGCAGAGAACAGAATCATAGAATAGTTCGGGTTGGAAAGGACCTTAAGATCATCTAGTTCCAACCCCCCTGCCATGGACAGGGATGGTTCACACTAGACCATGTCACCCAAGGCTCTGTCCAACCTGGCCTTGAACACTGCCAGGGATGGACCATTTACCACTTCTTTGGCCAACCTTTTCCAGTGCCTCACCACCCACAGTGAAGAACTTCTTCCTTATATCTAACCTTATATGCAGGTGACTGCTGTATGTTAGGTAGTAGCATGAAAATTATGTCCTCTGTGAAAAGTATCTGTACAAAAAGGGACATGTACAAAACCTAAATGCAAATAGTAGGCCCCTTTAAATAAACACAAAATATTCTCTGCCTGTAAGTCCAGTTTAAAATGGTCATTTATAATATCCAAAACAGAGTTTACCATAATAGACCTTTTTCTTACCATAATAGACGTTTTCTACATTTCTCCATGTTTAACAAGGAATAATTTGCCCATTTCATTAATCTGCTGTACAGTTAAACATACTGGGAGCTCAAAATAACTTGATAATAGAATTTCTGTTCCAAAACCAAACTACTATCTGAAAATACGTATATTTTTGATAAACATATGTAATTTTTTTTGTCTGTTAGGCAGTGGAGAGTGTGAAAAGCATATTTTTAAGAGGAAACTCCTGCTCACATTTAAAGAATATCTTCTGAACACAGCAGAAGATTGTAGGGAAAAAACTGACCAGATTGATACTCTTTTTGGTTTTGTAGTGTTTCCATGTGTTGGGTGCTTCCATATCTAACATGAAAACTAGGTGGTGAATGGAGTGTGTTTTGATATTACAAGACCCAAACAAAGCGATTATTTTAAGCATATACTCTGAAGAGCTCCCTTGCAAATTCAGCCCAGCTTTCACACGCAGTTCTATGGGAGCCTTTTACAAAAAATTGTGCAATGGAAAAATGTGTCTTATATGTGCTTACAAGAGGCCAGTTAGATTTGCTGTTTCTGGTTTTTAGTGTGTGTCTTTGAAACTGAAACAGTCAGTTAGGAATTTTAGGAAAAAAAGCACCCTTACATTCATTTCTAATTACTAAATTTTGGCCATAAAATATCCAATGTATATTGTAGTCTCACATGCTCTTTACTGTTTTTTATCTTACATCTCAGTATTTGTTACAGATTAATTGGCACATGCAGCTGAGTGTTCACAGAGAGCAATAACAAAGCCCTATCTGATTGAGGAAAAAAAACAAGAATTAACTCACAATTTATAATAGGTAGTAAACAAAGAGAGAAACTATATAAACAGAAGTATTTGATGATGTCTCTTTCAAGAAACTAAAATGTGACTTTGGCCTAGCAATTGCCTATAAATGCATTTAAATATAGAGGATTTAACACATTAGATGAATGGCTGATTTCACTGGTATATTTTTATTTTCTGATAGTTATACCTTATGGCTCTTAATTACAGCTGCTTTTGCCATTTAGGATAATTTAAACCACATTAATTTAGACTGCATAATTACATAATTTCCATTTGAAGGTTTGTCTCATTCATGTCATTTCCCATAGTGTTCAGATGTGTCAATTCTGTTACCTTAAATAAATTCCTTTTAGAGACCAGCAGAAAAATGTTTATTATTTTAATTTATAAAAACAAAAGAGGGGGAAAAAATGAGGGGGGGAACCCTGCTAACATTAATTAGTGTTTCATCACTACTTCAGATATGGGTAAAAACGTATTTGTTCTGCTGACATTTTCTCAAGTCCATGTAAATGAAATATATGCATAGGTTATACCTCAGGATAGTTGTAACCCAGTCTGTCTTGTAGATCTGTGGCTTGGAATTTGCAGAACCTGAGCTCAGACTAAGGACTTGAATTCTTGTCTGGAAGCTTGTTTTCTGAAACTTATGAAAAACTGAGGGTAAATTCCTGGCAACTCTGAAAACATTTGAGATTTTCATAGCAATTTCAATGCAGAAAGGATTTCAGTTGTTGTTTTATACTGTAAAATGGAGAATGTGTTACAATAGGACTTTAATAAGATAGTTTGTAGTTCAAAAATACATATACAGTAGCCTCCTATGAATAGCTTGTCTGGCATCTTGGGACTGCGCTGCAGGTAATTTTTGCAAATAAATCTCAAAGCCAGCATCTCAAAGCAATGTATGTAGCACTGCTGACTTCAGCTAGATTTCATAGGGTAGTAAATCAGCATAAACTGAGATTTCTTTCTGTTGTTTTTTTAAACTGAGAAATCGATGTATTTTAATACTGTGAAGTACCAAGGACAGAGCTGCTGAAAACCAGTAGTTTGTTCTTCCAGACTAGGCCGTGATTAAAACCAAACTATTTTTAGCTTCCTTTGGCTTTTCAGTCTTTGTTGCCTCATGATTATTACCTAAAGCTCATGGGTTTTTTTGTATTGTTTCAAATTGCTTCTGATGAATGCCTAAAGTAACATGGCTTATCATGCAAAAGTTTTGCGTACATGATTTCACTTGTATTTAAGCTTAGCTGTGCTTAGAGTATTCTTTTATGATCTGTATTGCTAACCTACCTTATCTTGAGTTTCTCAGTCGATTTTAGGGATGTTCACAGTCTCACATAAGTATTGAAATTTCCTTTAAATTATACTAATTGCTTTAAATGTTTTAGTTTTGGAGTATACAATACCCTATAAATGATACATTTCTACCAAACATCCATTCCCTTGCTTCTCTCACAAAATATTCCATTTTGCCTTTAGTGATACAGGGCTGTGTGAACAAATATAAATTTCCATAAAATTAAATTTGGCAAGCGTAGGGTATTATGTCAATAAATGCGGAGTTTTTTTTTCGATTTCTGTTTGGTGAAGTCTTCAGTAGTAGCTGAAATTTTGATTCTGTAAAGTCTGAGATTGCAGAAGTGGTTTATAGAGCTTAACTCTGAATCCTCAGATAAAAATCAATATGAGCAAAATTCTTCCTTGTCTCTTGTTGTTAGCCTATATAACATTTTAAATTGTGTCCCCTCTGCTTCTGCATCTTCAGGGTTCTGGCATAAAAATCTCCTGTGCTGAGCCATCAGAGATAAAAAGCACTGAAAGCATGCTCACCTACAAACGTGTAGTTTTTGTGTTTGAACCATGTTTATGTTTGCTGCACCACTTCATGTCATAGGAAATGAGTCAAGGTTATGGTTCTACTTCCTTGAAGTCCAGAAGTGTTTTTTTTTAGTGCAAAATGTTGAGATAAAAAGCCAAGAGGATTCATCATCTGCTGTCAAAATACCCAATTTTTTTTTAGTTGTGACTGCAGACTTGTTACAAACCTGTTTGGAATTAATCTCTGCTTTGCCATCTAGTTCTTTCTTTATCAAAGACAGTATCTGAAATATGTAAAAGCTGCTATATTGTGAGACCGGATCTTGAGGTAGCACTTATGTGACCAGTGGTGTCCTGTGGTGCAGAAATCTGCTCCACGACTCTTTGTAGGACCTGTGTGAAGTACAGATATGCAGTGTAGCATTTAGATAAATATAGTTCTTTGTAGATAATCCCACCTGAAATCAATGGGATAAATGTAGCTTGAGGCATGGATGAACTGCAGTCATGGCAAACTAATAGCTAACAGGCCTTGTATTAACTGTTATCAACCAGTAGACAAAATTGGTTAAAATATTTCAATATTGTACCTGGCTTGAAAATTTTATAAATATTTCACTCACATACCTGTTTACTTTGATGATAGTTATGTTCCTGTGTATTGTACTTGGTCAGTTTATGAAAGCTTTAGTAATTTAAATGAGCAGTTCTATCTATAGAAGTGATGTGCATCATTCCTAGATAGCCAGAATTTGCTTCTCACTTTTTCCAAGTAATTTCATCCTCATCTATTTCTGGAAAGAAACTTTATACTCTTCCACTGCATTTGCCTTCCTATGCTTAAGGAGCCACTGATTTCTTCCCCACTCTCCTTCCATGATAGACTTCACATTTTCCCAGTTATGTTAGTGAACTTCCTTTGAATGGAGGCTTCATGTTTCAATTAACATTTTAATTTATCTGCTTTACAACGAGGGGGTGGAGTAAAGAGAAAATAAAGTTTTGGAACTGCAAACTTGAAGCAACTGCTTCTGTGTTTTGTTTTTTGGGTTGCCATTTTCA